AGACCAGCTACATCGCTTGCAGACGAGCAGGCGGTCATTCTGTGGAAGTCGGCCTCTTTTGCTCCACTGCGCGTCAAGCTCGGTAATCCAAAAATGGTCTTGAGTCCAGCTAGTATGCATTTTTCGCCTCTTCATCGCGGACTCTACAACGCTGGGGCCTGTCGACAGACAAAGTTCCTCAGATTCTGATGTGAGAACCGTTGGGAAGCCACCGGACACCTGCGAGACCGACTCGGCTGGCAGTGGCCCCTCACCGTCATCGTATTCTGCCGTGTCTGAGACAGTGCTTTGCTCAAGGACCGGCGAGCAAGGCGAAATCGACCTGTCGAGCCCGTTGTTAAGTGCCAGGTAGTCTTTGCGAGGTAGATTCCGCGTCACGCGAAACTCACCGAGAGCCACAGCCATGTCTTCCAATACGTGAGCTGTTTGCTCACGGAATCCAGTGATAGCAGACGGTCAGATCCATCTGGCATGAGAATTATGCCTATCGAGAAGAATCTCGCTCCAACTAAGCCAGAAAGGCTTTGAAATAAACAAGTTCGCGTACCAGGAACTTTCGAGCCTCTCGGAGCGTGTTTGAAGGGCGCACTACGCGCAGCCTCTCCTGCACGGCATGTATGCTGCTTTTGGGCCATTGCAAGTGCAGCAAGTCGCCTCCGCGCCTCGTAATTGATTCGGTGTAGGTGAGCTGGTTCAGGTTACGGATATAAATACATCAATTTGAGATGAGTTTACTCACGTGAAATCCGCATCGACCTTCAACGGCTCTGAACTGCGCAAAAAGATGGAGGCTAGGTACTCAACAGAATGGAAAGCGGTTGCGGAGCACGATGTAAGCCTCTCTGGGTAGATTCTGACATTTGCAAGCTTACAAGGGTCAAGAATCAACGTCGTCGTTTGGTGGCCGGAACGGATCAACTATCTGCCGAACATGAAGTGAATAATGTGAATACGAATATGAATATTGCCCATATTCGCGTGAATAAGTATTCACTTTATTCGTATTCGCATAGGCGAATATGAATATGGGCCATATTCATATTCATTTATTCATTTCGGAGCCCTAATCACAACAGATGGGACTTTCTTAGGTTCTAGGTATGAGCTAGTATTTCATAGGCTGTCTCTCGCTTTTGTTGGTAGGCGTCGCGATGACATTGAAGGTTTGATTGTCCAGGGCATAACGGAAGACACAGCCGAAGTTATGAAGTCCATTGTCTCCCAGGAAGCATAGCTTGGCCTCGCCGCGTTTGCAGAGAGTATCATTATTCATCACAAAGCCAACCGCGTTACAGCTCTCACGTGATTTACACTCTCGACCAAAAATGAAAGTCACGTGCGATGACCCGGGCAAGAGATCGCGACGAAGCGGGACGAGGCTAGACACGTGATAGTATTACCACGAAGCCGCTGTGGTAACTATGCGCCTCGAAACCTGTGGTTTTTGGACAATCAGTCAGCTTCAGACAAGTAAGCCCCGTGCCCCTGTTGCATCCACATCCACTCAGGATGATTTAGTCTTCGGCGACTCGCTACACCTTCCCACAAGGCTCTCGTGGTTGCCTAAACCCTGTAGGCTCTGGCCTGACTCACACCCTCTGATCCAATCAACCATTCCTCAGGCGCCGAGGGCTTGAAATCGTGTCCCGATCTCCCATATCACTGACTGCTTCCACCCTGGCGAGTTTCATGCTGACGGCGGACAAAGCAGGCTGCTGGTTCTCCGCAGCAGCCGTAGGCACCCTTGGGAGTGTTACTGTAACAGTACTTACTGAGTGCAACAGTGTTTCCCCTTAAGGGTCCTTTCCTTTATGACCTTCGTTTTCTTGCACACAGCACTTCAGGATAGGCTTTCTCATCTGCTTCCATTACCCTCTATTTCGGTCTCCGTTATACAATCGTTGGACAGGAATACGCATTCGAGTCTACACAGAGGCTGTGAGTATCTTGTCCATTTTTCACCATGAGCTGCGAAGAAGGGTTTTCGGACGAAGAAGACCACCTCGAACCCTTGCGATCTCAGATCTTAGGTTGTCTTGATGGAATCCATACTGTAGGGTCATTTGTAATAAGCGCCCACGACGTCGAGCACGTTCACCCTGGCCTGGTGGTCAGTGGTATCGGTCCTATTCGACTTCCCTTGTGCCAGGATGATGCTAACGCTCTCATTGGAGTGAGCCGTCGCGCTCCATTCGGTAAGGGGAGCAAAACGTTGGTTGATGAGACTGTGAGGAAGACTTGGGAGATCGATGGAAAAGAGTTATCATTCAAACATGAAGCCTAGTATAACTGGCTGGACGGTGTTGTCGGAAATGTCTCTAAGGGCCTGGGCGTCCATGGCGGTGCTGGCAATGTACGAGCTGAGCTCTATAAGTTACTGGTGTATGAAAAGGGCGCCTTTTTTAAGCCTCACAAAGAGTATGACCGAAGGATAGCTCTATATCTTGCATAATACTGACTCATCATAGCACGGAGAAGACGAAAGACATGTTTGGAACTCTTGTCATTTGCCTACCCTGCGAGCACGTTGGCGGCGGGGTGCGCCTCATTCACGGTCTGGACGAAAGAGTTCTCGAGACGGACAAGTGCTTCTCTTACGGTGTCTCTTATCTGGCTTGGTAAGCTAAGACCTCGCTCAATGTATTTCAACGCTGACAGGCCGTGAAGGTATAGTGATGTGTCCCATGAGGTAGGTGCACTGTATCAGTTAGATACAATATCGCGACTCATAAGAACAGGTGTTATCAGTTTAATCCGGGTACCGGTTCGTTTTAACATATAACCTTATTAACACTACTTCTGACCGTCATCCTTCGGCCGCTGCACTGGACGTTAAACAGTCTAACATCGAGGCCACACTCGCCGAGTGGTGTTCTATGTCAGATAAACCACGGTTCATGTGCTACGTTCTCCAGCACAAATACACCAGTGCAAAACTCCGACTCAGCGGTCTGAAAGGTGATGACTATTATCGCTGTTGTCAGCTCGACCGAGCTTGCCGGTCAAACGGTCGTTTCTGTCTTGTCTTAGCCTGGCTGGAGCTGATAGTCACTCGAATTAACGACGAGGACTACCTGGATCAGGACGACAAGGAATACCTGGACCAGGGCGACGAAGAGCTCTGTTTGAACGATATTGTCACACTAGAGGGGTTCTAGCTTCAGCATTCCTTGACCATAAGGAAGGACAGTCTCGCACAAAGAAGATTATATAAGTCTCGTGAACACGATGAACAATGGGGAGGGGAACACTTAGGCAATCAACACGCTGACATCCAACAAGTTTACCGTGATGCTATATGCATGGTGCTTATTTCAAGTCCGAATCCGTGCTTACAATCTCTTAGGTCGCTGTCATTATTTCTCGGGACAAGATGACGGAATTTCTCCTTGGAAATGGCTATACCTTTACCCATTACGCGGAGTTTCTCTAACGGCTTCTCGCTGAGCTGAAGGGCCAGAATGGCGATGAAGGTCATCTCTTCCGCGAAATGATCGTCCAGACATGCCAAAAGCACACCGAAAGACGGTACCATAATAGTGGTGATAAAGATCGTTTCATGGGCGTAATAGTAATAGCGTCACTATAAATCGAGAATCCTGAGGCAGCCTAAGCGGCCCTTTACGCTGTGGAGGACAGCTTCGACGCATTTACCTTCTAGAACCTCGGTAGACTGGGGTTTAAGAAAACGAGATAATTATAAGCATGGATATGAATTGTATTTTAGCCTCCGCTAAACTACTATTTTAGTTGTACAGAAGCTTTCTCTCGCATTTCGAAACTGCACCTCGTTGCTCGTGGTCTCCGAGCATTCCGCTCTGGTGTACCGAGTGATGTTCGATTGGACACCAGTGAAGCATCAGAACGTGCCGTCTACCAATGGGCTATAGATGTCCTCTTGAAGGCTTTGAGTTCGATTGTAGAGGTCTTCCCTAAGGATGCAGGAGCCATAGTTCAGATCATCGACGCCTATGAAGACGAAAGACTTTTAGGAAGGTAAGTTTTCTTCACCATATAGACACATCTGGTTCGTTTTTCTCTTTACAAGGATGCTGGCTTATCCTCTGCTCATATAGCATGAACGCTTTCGTGAGTCATTTTTCCGATGACGCGACCTTCATAAACACCCTCTTCGCGGAAATCCTTTGCTACTCCGAAACGGTTCAGAAACCAAACTTGCTTGTGCAACGTCTCGTTCCATCAATTTTCGACAAGGCAATCTCCTCTTTCCGGTTGGATCAATTTTCGTCTCTTTCGAAAACCAGGGAAGACTATCCATTTTCGTCGTGGCCTGACATCATTTCACACAGCGAGAAGAGCGAAAAGGATGCCTCTGTTGTTGCGTCACTGTATCGTCAACTTGTGAGAGATGATTTGGACAAGGCGGGACAGTTCCTTGAGAAGATCGCGAATGACACTGCAAGTATCCACCAAGACGACCTCAACCGCTTTGTCATCCCACTCCTGTGCGAAATGATCGATATCCTAGAGCGTCAACCATCCGAGGCTGCACCATTGTGCGTGAGTTTCTGGGGAATCCAAGCCGAGAGGACTGGGACTTCACCATTTCTGAGGATCGGTATTACGACTTCACTCGCCACCTGCCGTTTCACTACACGACGACGAGGGAGAAAAGAGGAGAGCATTACGACATCAAGGTCACTAAGTCACTCAAGACATGGGAACGAGAACACGAGGCATGGCGAGGCAGATTTGAACGTGCCCAATCGGCTCTTCGGCGGCTGCCCGAGTCATCCCTACGCCGATGCCTTGGGGATGGCGAGTATCAGGACTTGATGGGACTTCAAATTGTCAAATTGCCGACGGCGGATGTGGCCATGGATCCGCCAAACTCTGCCCAAGCAGATGCGGCCGGGAAGAGGAAGAGGAAAAGGAGGAGGCTTTGATCCCAACATGAAAGCAGAAGCTGCAGCCATGCTTCTAGGCACCGGGATGGAGGTCACTATGTCAAAATTATACACCTCAAAATTCACTTGACATTTGGTCACCAGCTCCTTTGATCGGTGACTGGCTTTGTTCGATGCCGTTGTGTTCTTTTGTTGTTGTACAAAACTCAGATCTGCTCTTTTGAACTTGTATCGGCTCAGCCTCCGCCGCTTGTCTTCGTCGTTTGGAGATATATTGTGCAGCACGCACACGCCCACACATTGGCTCTTTCTTCTGAGTTGATAATGCGGAAACGCCTTGACGAACAGGCTGGCTCTGGACAATAGTGCCTGTCTGTGTGCTTAGATTGATTGAAGAGAGCTCAGTCAAGGGTTTAGCTCTCTGCGTTTTACAGCTCTGCCGTTCTTGCGCCTCTTTCTGATATCTTGCTAAGCTTTCCTCCATAAGTCGCCTTGGCCCTTTTTTGTCAGCAGAGAATAGTATGCCGACGGAAGGGCTTACCCTTCAGTGAATGACATCGCGCTCCCTGAAGAGGAATGCTGCCATAATCGCGATCTCACTAGATCCTGGAGCTGCTTATTGTATTGCTCCGATTTTGCTTCCATTGAGTTCACAAGCAGCCAGACAGATAAAACTAGCAGATCGGAGAGAAGTTTCGATATAATATGCCACTAGATATTAATTGGGGAAGGACAATGAATCCGGTGTTGCTTCTTTTGAAAGACTAAACACTCTGGCTGGTAGTTCCGTCAATTTCGATTGATAAAGTTGACAATTACTCTTGCCGTCTATCCGCGTTCGAATAGAACACTTTTTGAAGATAATTCGGGAGGCTGGGGTTTGAACGCCAATATCTACTAGCAAAAGTATTGGACGAAGAGCGCGGAGCGCATTTGTAACGTTTTCAACGGAGGTGGGAGTTGCTGATATCGAATTATGAACGAGAAGCATTACGTAAGCAGCAACTTCGGGAGATAGAAAGTGCAAAGGCCTTAAATTGGCATACGAATGAGAGAAAGAGATTTCAGAAGCACCTGCGTGTGACCAGAGGCGGCCCTACTCAACAGGAGCATTCTGTTAGACGGCAAGTACACTAGACCAACTGATAGTCCGGGGTCCCAATATGATGCATTGACGAGTCTGTGCTCGCTCACTAGGAGGAGGTTCTCTATCTGTTTATAGAGTAAAAAGGAGCGTAAATATTCCTCCGGGTGAAGCATTTCTTGTTGCCGCATCAACTCTCGCAAGAAGATATCAGCAGGCCGCAAAGCCACCAATCTGGCAAACCTTGAACAAACATACTTCCCTTACACCAAGCTACAGGCGCCAGCTCCAGCCCTCTTCCGAACATTAGGAGACCTGTCGGTGATAGCTGAGGGCGATCAATATAAGCGAAGAAGCGATGTCTAACAAAGACCGTTTACGCCCAACACCTCTTTGATTGTCCGTAGCCTCGAGACCACTGTTTAAGCATTTCAATATAGGGGTTAGAGGAGGTTGTAGCTTGTGATTCACGGAAATTTAGGGTTACCAGCGGTTCGGATGCGCAAGAGAGGCTGATTCAGGATTAGGTTGAAGAGGAGTTATAAGGAAAGGTTCTATTGGCAAGAAGAGGTTCACAACAGAAGTGGGAATCCAGCTGCATTGACGAGGGCGACTTATCTTTAGAGTATGCCCGGTCCTTCAGTAGTTCAGTACAATACAAATCGTTCTTGTTCCTGGCTATTCAGAGTTCCTGAAAAAGGCGATGCTAAAATATGGTATCGATTGGCGCCCAACTCCATTGTAGAAAAAAAGACCCCTTTCAGTCTGCAACGATGTGTGGTATTCTCACCTCCTCACAGATGAGATGGAAGGTGATTCCTTATGCGATCATCGATCCACCTCCAGTTATCTTCTTCAAGAACGTACTCAACTATAGATCCCGACGAATCAAGTTCTCTAAGAGCACTCGCTAACTCGCGTCGACAACGGCTTCCCTTTAAACAATCCCCAAATGAACGTCAATTGCCCCTGCCGCGACCTCGGCCTCGGCCAACTGGGTTCAGACCAATCCCGAAGGCTGGGGGATCTCGCTCTGACTGAAGTATCTGGCGAGCAGTCTGATTAAGAAATTGTCGCTGAACGAGTAGCTGGACATATTCTGCGGTCCATTCTTGGCAACGCTTGTTGTTAACCTAACGAAGCGTTAGCAAGCGCTAGAAATTAACGAGAATATCTTTCATCTACCCCATCAACTGGAGCCATAAAATTTTGACTTATTCCAGGTGGTCTGACTGTAGAAGCAAGTTGTCGAATAGCAGCAGTTGATGATGCAGGCACTTGTCCAAGGAGATGTGATGTATATTGTTGCAAGGTTGCAGCCAGGTCGTAATTCTCCTTAATTTCGAGCTGGAAACCGGCCATTGGTGCACCGACCACGTGTATCAGTATTCCTTTTCCAGGAAAAGCCCCTTCGTGAACATAGATTGCAAAGTGTGCACGTTGAGTGGAACTGGTCCGATATTTGATGAGATAGATGGTCTTGTTGGCCATATTCTTGGATACGAGATGGTTCAAATAATTGGCCTTTCTGGCAAACTGGCGAAAGACTAGCAAAGAGCAGGATGAAATGACTTTATTGATCTGCACTTTTGGCGATGTTGAACCACGTATTTATACACATAAGAGTTTAGTGGTCCTTTCTTCGTCCCTACCTAGGTACGAGGTTCACGACCATGGTGAACGCGCGCCTGGCTTAAGACGTATCAGATGTCATGACCGCCACTGACCATAGTCCCTAAAATTGGCCCCTGGCCGATGTGGCCAGCGCGTAGGAATAGATTTTCGGCTCAAGGATCGAAGCACTGTATGCAAGCACATGCCATCTCCGAAAGATTAGGTTGTAACACTACGTGGATAGCGGCCGCGGCTAACATTGATCGCCACATGGCAGCAACTCGACCGTGGTTTGGAGAGGATGGGTGGGATCACATACACTTCATAAGACGACCATGAACACCAATCACTCTGAGACGTCTGGTGCGGCGACAACGGACATGACCAAACAGTGAGTATGATTTATCACTCAGTTACGTAGCGAGGCTGACAATATCTACACCAGAATCGTCATCGCGAAGTGATCGCGGTATATTAAGTGGTTAAGACGCCGAGTGCAAATGTTTACTCCTGACTTTGAAGCGGTCTGTCCTTGGTAGTCCTGTTTCATGAGTGAGACAAAATCAAGACTCGAAACTTAATGGCAGCGTTTAGCTTAGCTGGAAAGCGAGACTATGTGTCTACCAATCAATCGGGAAAGTCTTTGGCGGTTACTGAAGAAAGACTTTTAGCCGCATCTGGACAGAGTTGGCTGTGGAGAATTATTTGCGAGATGAGACTATGGCGTAGTTTACATAAAAGAGATCGCTCTTCGGTGGCGCCTAAGATTAGGCAGCCATACGTTCGTTTTTTCGGCGCCAAATAAATGCCAAT